GCTTGCAGCTTTAATTTTACATTTTAACTAGTTTCGTTTGATTCATTTTTTAGGCAGTAGCAGTATAGGTTCCCACTCATCTTCACTGTATGAGCATGGAGACATAAAACTTGGCAGCAAACCTTTTTTTTTTTTTTTTAAATATGGGTGTCTTTATATTAATAGGACCCAGATTTCTGCATTGATCTAAAATCATAAATTGAACATACACTTTAACTGTAAGATAGAACATTTGCTCTTCCATGGTCCTCAATATATAAGCATGGATCTGCAGTCATAGTTCTGCAATTTCTCACTTCGTATATATATTCATTTTAGCAGGAAAGCGAAAGCTAAAGCTAAAGCCAGCACTATATTATAACATAATAAAATGGTAGAGATAGACACGTTTATTTTGTTCTCTAATAACCTTGGGACACTTTTTTCGCAGCTATCAAACACACCCATACAGTGCTGCACTCACTGGCTAAATGTCTTGTCCATGAGGTCGGTGCTGTTGATCCTGACGATGCACTCATCCTCTTCGAACAAGCCCTCTTTTCTTGAGCGACTCTCCTCCTCAACTCCACGAATGTACAGACCAAGAGACCTAATAGGACAGAAAGGGGGGTTAAGGGATGTTAAAACCTTGCACACATGCATGCACACACAAGCACACACACTTTCCTAGAGTGACTTTCAGTGTGTGTCCCAGGGGACTGATGTGTCTGATGGGGTAGCCCACAGAGACCATCCATATGGTTTACTTAGACAAGGCTATGTCAGATACACCCCCAAACTGTCTGTTCGTGTCCTATGCTGAGTTTATACAATCCACCTTTAACTGATAAAAGACAAGCTAGGAACACAGTGGTCACACTAGTAAACAAGATAACAAGACAGAGAGGTAGAGTAGCAAAGACAACATGACAAACAAGCACACACGTAAACAAGATATAAAGGCGAACAGACATGTAGATTATCATAATAAAGGGACAGATATAAAGGCACTGATATATAGAGGCAGATGGTAGGGTGGACTCAAAGACTATTTCAGTTTTATCTGTCCTTAATGTCCACTGTTCACCCAAAAAAAAGCTTAACAAAACGGAGGTGATGACACTGACAGAGAAAAGACTTCAGCTGCAAAAGGATTAAATTAGGTTAAGAGGTGAAAGGGATGATGGTAAATGGTGGAAAAAGATGGAGGTGTTCAGAAAAGAGGAGAAAAGGACAGAAAAAGAGGTTAAGAGCGGGAAAGGAGAATGGAGAGAGAGAGAGGAATTTAAGGAGGAGATTGGCAGGGTCAGGTGAGTCATGAGAACAGCCATAAAAACTCATCCTGCTTTCCTTTAGGAAATCCCCATCCACTGTCTGACTGTCACACACCCAAAGAAAAGCCCCACATGAATGTACACTTTTTCTTTCTTTTTATTTTCTTTTCCATGTTGTGTGTGTGTGTGTGTGTGTGTGTGTGTGCTGTAGTGCCAGTGTCCAGAATTCCTTGTGCAGAACAGGATTACGGGAATATAACTTTAGGAAATACTGTAGCTGGTAAACAGACAGGTCTTTTTGAGGTTAAAGGGCTTAGACAGATATTTTACAGGTATTTTATTGTTTTTGTGTGCATGCATTTTTGTACGTGTGTGCACATAACTCACCGTCCACTGAATGATGAGCAGTAAGGAACCACATGGATTCCCAGAGGACTGTCCTCTCCCAGGATCTCCACTGTTCTAGTCAGACTATACACACACACAATTAAAACACACAAACAAAAAGTGGTCAAAAAACAAAATATGTAATGTTAGTATCCTAAAATACAATACAAACACATGTTCTGTCACACTGAAATAAAATGTAATTATGGAAAGTGTTGTTTCTAGGATGAAGACAAATCAAGAGACAGATCTAAGGCATATTGAAGACTTTTGTCCAATATTTTAATTAGGTATTAGGTAGGTACTGTGTAGTTTTCAAAAGAAATGTTAAAGCCCCATCATGTATCTTTTCTACCTCTAAAAAACATCTTAAAAATCATTTTGATGCAACAAAAACATTCCCAGTCTGCGCCCTGTATGCCTGTTTTTGCACTATGTAATTTTTGGTCTCTGGGTCGAGAAGTGTGTAACACTTTACGGCACCAAGTCTCTAATATAGTAACAAACTATGTCAGTGATTTTGGTGAAATTTGGTGGCCCAAATCCTGTGGGAACTGTGTTGACAGACTAACACCACTCTGTCTCTCCTTTTTAGTGTGACACAAGCTAACATTAACTGGAAAACAAATGTAAAAATGGCCTCACGCACGCCTGCATGAAACAGAAAACACGACATACAGACAAAGTGAGGAAGAGAGAGAAAGGGACCGTAACACAGAGAAAGACAAAAAAAACATGAATTGTTGGCAAGGAGTCAGATACAAGTACGTGTGTTGGCACACGAATACGAACACATACAGACATCCAAAAAAGACAGAAAAACTGCCTTGAAAGTGTGCGTCTCTTGAGGACAAGTTTGAAAAGCACCATTCTAGATTGACAAAACTTTCCATGGATGCATTCATTGTGCTAAAAATACTTTTTTGTCAAGAACTTAATCCTTGTCTGCAAACCCAACCCTTAGAGAAGGGAATGCAGACACTCTATTCAAAATACAGACTGCTCTGTGTGCGTGCGTTTGTCAAAACTTTTTTGTGCCATTCATCTTTATGGGTTTCTTCCTCTCTTTCAATCTCTCAATGTCTCTGTCTAGTTATTCAAAGTGTGTGTCTGCTTTACATTCTGTCTGTGTTTTAATGTGTGTGCGTGTTGAAGTCTTTGTTTGTTTGATTAGTTTATCTATCAGAGCACAGCCATTAATCCTCCCCTGACCTTCTTCCTGCTCCCTGTGTGTGTGGTTTTTTTTCTAAGTGAGTTTGTCTGAACTTAGTTTTGTACTCTTTAGTTACACCCTCCCCTCTCTCTCTCTCTCTCTCTCCTCTGTCTGTCTCTAATGCTGTCTGCTCGTTTTGTCTTCCTCTTTCTCTCTAGACCATCCAGCCGTCCCTAAACCCCCATGAACTGATAGCAGTACAGATGCTGATAAACTCCAGAGAGAGGGTGGTAGATGATGGTGGCAACAGGGGAGAGATGCAAAGTGCAAAAACAAGTTCTCCCTGTCTCTTTTTCTCTGTCTCTCTCTCCCTCACACACACAAAACTGATGCTGCCTCCTCGTCACTCAGCAAATTTGAGTTAATCCAGACAACAGCTAAGGGACTGCAAGAGAGGGGAAAAGAGAGGAAAGCAAGGACAGAGGGAGAGTGAAAAGTAGGGATATGGGGAGGACGGCAAGCAGTGGGAGAAAATGATATCAGCCATAACATTATGACCACTGACAAGTAAAGTGAGTAACAATGATTATCTGGTTATCATGGCGCCTGTCAGTGGGTGGGATATATTAGGCAGCAAGTGAACATTTTGTCCTCAAGTTGATGTGTTAGAAGCAGTAAATGGGCCAACGTGGGCCAAAAGCATGTATGATGGCGGGCTAGATGGAGCGTGCAGTCAGAACGTCTCCAAAACTGCAGCCTCTTGTGGTTGTCCCGGTCTGCAGTGGTCAGTACCTATCAAAAGTGTCCAAGGAAGGGAAAGCGGTGAACTGGAGACAGGGTCACTAGGGCGGCCCGGCCAAGCGCTCAGTTGATGCACGTGGCACCTGTGTCCGATCCGACAGACAAGCTACTGTAGCTCAAACTGGCTGAAAGAGTTAATGCTGGGTTCTGATGACAAGGTTGTCCAGAACAACAGTGCATCTGTAGTGTTGTGTCCATGAGTGGGGGCTGCATAACCATTTGGACCACCAACGCGTGCTCAGGTGGTCATAATGTTTATGGCTGATTGGTGTATATACAGTATATACAATGTACATTATATGTAAGAAAATGTTGTCTTTTGGAAGAACATTGTGCGTTTTGTTTTTGTTAACTTTTAGTTGGCAGTTTGATAATGTTTGCACGTCGCGATGGCGGAAGTACTGATTGTATAATTTCCTGATATATCACGTTCAGCATCTTCTACAATCTATTGGACCTAATGGTGCTGCAGAGGAGTCAGGGGTACATCAACGTGATTAGCATTGTCTGGTAACAAACAAACCAAAAAAATGGATAGAGGAGTGAAAAGGGAAAAGAAGGTAGAAGGAAGGGAGGTCTGGAAGCAAGATATAGCGAAATGAAGGGAGGAGGAGCACTGGAACTTAGTTAGACAAGGGCTAATGAATAGGCATTAATATGAGGAGGAAAAATAACATCCACCCTCCCTCTATCCCTTCCTGCTGCTGTGCCTCTGAGTCTCTAACGACTCCCACTGAAGAACACACACACACACACAAGACACACACACACACACACACACAAGCACTTGGAGAATCCATTTGTGTGTTCTTTTTTTTTGCATGAGATGTTTTGACAGGCTGCATCACTGCAAAAAAATGAGTTGGGGGTGAGAGAGACAAAATGGGTGAGACTTGAGAGAAAGAAGGAGGGAGCGCGACAAGGGAAACAAGAGACAGAAGAAAAAGAGCCAAACACACAGAGTGGGAGGAGAAGCAGAAGAAGAAGATGAAGAGAGCAGGTGTTCTCCTTTATCCACCTGCCACTTCACTGATCCTCACTATGAAAGACAGAAACACAGAGGAGAAATAACAAAAGAGGAGGAATGTGCATTACCAAACCATCTCCCTTCGCTCTCTCCTGCATTCACCCTCTTCTTATTATTATTCATTCTCCCTTTCTCCCTCTCTCTCTCTCATTTTCTCCCAAAGCTGTTCTTCAAAGTGCAGAGCATAAGAGATGTAGGAAGTAAAAGGAATGCAAACATGCAGTAAAAAGGTACAATACCGTTAAAGGTGTATGTATGCAAATACACAAATAAACACATTTACACATGAAAAAAACACTCTAAATAGTAGTTATCTAAAGAATGAATGAGTACAAAGATTTATAACCAAAATAATAAGAAGGTTTAGGTTTACCACAATAACTGTCTATGTCAAGGGAAATAAACAGACGTAATAGTTTAAGGTCCAGTTTGTATAGTA